ATTTAGGCATGGGGGTGGCGGGGGGTACGAGGTTGAAGTTGGTTCCTTCTTTATACGACCATTTTGCTTCCCCCTCGATTCTAACGAAACGGTTTTGGCCATTTTGTGATACCTCTAATATAAAAAACGATATCGCCCATTGAAAGTTTTAAAAGTGTCACCCTGTATATAATATACAGTGATATTTATTAAGAAGTAGACATAGGGATTTATGTGTATTGTTTTTCCCTGTGTCTACTTTTAAATGACAAAATATCTTCTGAAGGGCGCCTAATTTTATGCAACCAAAGTAACTTCTTAGAACAAATAAAGATCTGGCGGTCATATTAATTAATTTAAATATTGTTGATTCGGCTTCACAGAAAATAGATTCCTTACGCAGTTACGCTCCTTAAACTGTTACCGGCACTATATCAATTGACAATATCAACTTTTTCTTCAGATGAAACATCGCACACGAACGAAAATATAAATACGGAAGCTAAAGCAAAAATATTCAAAAAAATAAATCTGTCTCGTGTAATAGATATACTCGTAGGTGCCCCATTAGCGCATAAAGAAATGTTTTTTTCCTAATCATAAATTCTCAATTATACACCGATTTCGTCTGGGAAACGGGAAAACACTTGAATAGATACACAGGAACTACGAGGGCGGTCGCGAACCTAAATTGCCGAATTCATGGGAGCAATGGCGCGATTTCGAAAAATCGAAACTGCCGATTTTGTTATTATTTTTACCACCCGCACGTTAGGGAGGTATTGCATCGGGATAAAAAATGATCCCCCCCCCCACTTTTTCTGACGGAAATGCACGTTTTTAAGCGCCAAGAATCAAACAAAATCTCGATGATGTCGGTCAGTCTGTCGATACTCTAATTTTCGGCTAAACGGCTGACCCGATTGGAATCAAATTTGGTACACATATTCTTAGACATAAAAGGGCAGAATCGCGCAGGATGTTATTTGAGAACGAAAAAAATAAAAAAACTGCTATTTTTTGAGCTCTACAAGATACCGTTGTAAGAGTTTCAATACAAATTAAAAAAGTACACACTGTATTGAGTAGCATTTTTTATTACGCATACAACGATGTACGGCACACATAAGAATACAAAACTCGGTAATTGTTCGTTTCAACAGGATGGTGCACCCGCGCACAATTTGCTTATCGTGCGAGAATACCTATCGTACAAATTTTCTGCGCAATGGAAAATATGTCCAATAAGTATTCTCGCACGATTAGAGCGTTCTGCGCTGGTGCACCAGCCTGTTGATACTTTCATTTCGTAATAAAATAGCTACTTAATATGGTATATGTCGAGGTATATGTACTTTTTTCTTTCTCGGAAACGAAGCGTTGTATTGAAAATCTTTCAAAAGTGTCTTGTAGAGCTCAAAAAGTGGCAATAAGAAAGTGTTGGGGGCAAAGTTGCCCTTTTTTGTAGGTAAAAAAACGCATTTCAAATTTTTGAGAAATCTTTAAAAATATCAAATTTCTTTTTACATTCTCCCTAGCTTAATTAAACGGTCGGAAATGGGCGTTCCCCGTTCGCACGTTTTTTCTGAATATGTTATCAGAATTTCCATAACACGCTAGATGTAGAAGCTACATACTACTACTTTCTTATTTCTTATGGACGCCATATTGGATTTTCAGCAAAATAATGAATTTTAACTCTAATACCTTTATATAAATTGGGTGGTGACTTGACTTGCGTCACGCATCATAGGGATTTCAATGTAAAATTCATAACATGCCATTATTGGCTCCCCAAATTATTTTAGAGCAAAAATGTATTAAGGTTTTTTGTAGAAAAAAATTTTTTACGTCAATCAACCGTATTAGTTTTCAATTTTTTGCATAATAAAGACCGAAAATTGGAAAAATAAAACCCCTACCTTTTTCAATAATCTGTGATGCCATGGAATTTTCTAAAACAAAAACTACGCCAATATCCGTCATGCCATGGAATGTCTGCTATAAAACAAATGAAATTCTATCAAAAAGTATTATATTTAGAACAGCGAATTCAACATAAAGAAAGACCAAATTACTAAAAACGGTTTCCTAATATAACAATTTACAATAAATGTTCGAATACCATTAACTGCAATACAGTAACAAGTCGATCATAAAATCCATTGCGAACTGCCGCTAATTGATAACTGGATATCTTTTTGTTTTAGAAAATTCCATGGCAACGCAGATTGTTGAAAAAGATGCGGGTTTTATTTTTCCAATTTTCCGTCTTTATATGAAAAAAAACTGAAAACTAATACGGTTGATTGGCGTAAAAAATGTTTTCCTACAAAAAACATTTTTGCTCTAAAATAATTTGGAGAGCCAATAATCGCATATTATGAATTTTACATTGAAATCCCTATGATGCGTTACGCAAGTCACCACCCTGTATATTATATGTCTAATAAGAAACATACGTAGAATAGTGTTCAAATAAAGCCATACAAAAATATTTCCATTTAGGTCAGACTTATCATTTTAGTGTCACTATCGTTTTAGGGCAATTCCATTCAATGAACGTAAATGAAAACGGTATAACGAACATAATTTTGCGGGAGTTGTATCAATCATCCAAATGGAATAGATTTAGAATTAGGGTAAGGTCAGTGGAAAAAAGAAATTACTTAACGCGTTATGCATCTGCGAAAAAGAAACTTCCTACTTATACGATATTTTCAAAATGGCGATCAACCGGATCAATACAGACACTACGCCAGGGATTATTGATTAAGTCGTAGCAGAACCTGTCCGCTGTATCTGGGTATAAACGTCAAAAACTCATTCATAATACAAGATTGCATTTCGAATATGTTATTGAACGTGTATTAGTTAACAATGTAAACCATCATATTAGTAGAAGCCTGCAAAACACCGTAACAAAAATACGACAACGCCGAACCATTGAATAAAAACACTATTTTTTATTCAATGGCCGAACGCAATTATCAAACACAAACCTAGCAACATGAATTAATAGACGACCCATCACCTTCACTGCAATGTTTGATACAAAAATTTGAGGTGCGCATCAAAATATGGGACATCGTACGCATACTATTACGCCAAAATCACGTGCTCGCGATGAATACAGAAACGCAACAGGAAGACGGACAAACGGACGGACGAAAATGAGCAGCACAAGAGGGATCTTATGTGACTGTGTTTTGCAACTTGCAAGGTTTCAGTCGTACAACAAAAGATTTATGGCAAAAAACCGCATTTGAAATTTTTGAATAATCTTTGGAGAGATATCAAAGAAAAACTGAAAATGTCAAATTTCGTCTTCATGTTTCCTAGCTGAAAGGGACGGTTCGCGTTAGCACCTTCTCTGGGCACTTTTTTTTGGAGAATCTGAATCTATCACCTGTCCATCGGAGAGACTTGCGTTCGGCCAATCGGAAAACTTAAACTTTTTTATTACAGGCAACTTTTGATTCTCCATAAAAAAAGTCTCTTGAGTTTTTTTGATATAATGTATACTTTACGAAATATTTAATAAATTCGAAAAAAATCAAGATGGCGGCCATTTTTTTCCAAGTTCCACCAATGCGACAAAGTGCGATTTTTGAGGGGTTAATAAGGACCCTATTGGGTACTCATTTCCGCAGAGATCACTTTGTTACTAATTTTTTCTACCTTAACCACCTATTTTGACTAGCCTAATATAGAAAGTACCGCAATCATCCGCCATTTTTGGGCAAATTTGCTGACAACTTAAAAAAATTTACAAATAAAATCTGAATAGCTGTCATTTTTTATAATCTAATTTCATTGTATGTACTGTCATGTTTTATAAAAATATATACAGATATCTCCAAACAGGTGGAACAATCCCTAACATTAAAGTTACTAGAATCTGGTAACTTCCGCCATTTTTGGGCAGAAATCATGCGTTCTCTCTCTAACACACGAGCCCAATGGATTGTGGTACTTTCTATATTTAGTGACTTTACTTGAATCTAAAAAAGTGATGTTTCTGTGAATTCCGCTATATTAACCTAACCAAAAAATACCTGGTCTTTAATGGATTTACATATAACTATTTTACCTTTCAAAAAATTTCGCATGCGTCGGACTTTAGGATTGATTAAATATTTTAGTATTTGTAATCATGTAACATTTCGCCCAAGTTTTTATGTAGGAAAGACAAAGAAAAATACCTCAAGGTGTGTCGTTGCCGCTTTGGATAACGCTGCAGCACCTATGCGGGCATTTCGATGCGAAGTGTATAGTAAATTTTAATCATATCTCTTTGTTCTGCGCTTGAAAAACTGAAAAAGGCATTTCCGTTAGAAACTTCTCTGTCGTGTGAGATCACTCAGGGAAATAAAACGGTTGTCGGAATAAATATTTTTCCAAAGGTTAATAATAAAAAATTTGCCTCCTGTGAGGTTTGAACTCACGACCCCTGGTTTACGAGACCAGTGCTCTACCACTGAGCTAAAGAGGCTTACGACTTCGGACGATTATGAATCAATAATATGCCTGAACGTTATTATATATTTAATAACATAAGACAAAAGAAACCCTCCAATTTTGTATATAAAAATTTGTATACAGGGTAGTACATAATATATAACTGACTAAATTAGGTTATGAATGCGAATTATACACTCCCATTTATGTGTGGTAGGTACCAGTGGCGTAATACACTATCCTCGCAAAAATTAAACCTGCTGCAGCCCGTCTATTATGTAAATTTAAAGGAAAACAAGTCATTCAAGTAAAGAACAATGTAGTTTTGTAAAGTCATAAAAAGACGATAGGTTTTTTAAAAAATGCGGAAAGAAGGCCTTCGACAAAAAGGAAGATATTGCCCTCCCTCGATATTGCCAATGCCGAGGTGAATGGAATTGATACCTACTTATGGTTATTTCGTCATTTTGTTATTTTTGAATTCTGTTTCGCAAAGCGTATGCGTACTTTGCTTAAAATTTACGTTTACAAACTATAATTATGTAAAATAGAATTCTTACCTTTTGATCTTAGGACTGTTAGGGGCGTCTCGGAGTACTAAAGCTGATCCGTTGACATCTGAAAAGAATTACAGGGTTTCTTAAATAATAATAACAAAAAGGAAAAAAACAAGTAAACAATTTTAAAAATAATTCTGCGTCCTGTTATTCTAGCACTACCATTTTACATTAAGACAACGTTGCATGGTCGGATTGAATCGGCTTTTCAGTGTCAAAATGAAAATAATTTAAAATTAACAATATTGGACAATTCCAATGTATTCACTGACCATGATTATAATTATTAAATAAACAAATTGAAATTCATACTATGCACAGTGAGAATTCCCACAAAATACGTTTATTTTAAACTACTTAACTGTCGATATTTTTTTATTTATTTACCGTCTTCGAGGTAAAAGATAACGTAAATTTAATTACGTCGTTTATTTATAACAGTAATTACAATTTATCACTCACAATTTATATCATAACAAGAACGCATCGCAATAGGAACTGAACTCGAAACACAATTCCATTTTGTAGAATGTTCTCGAGTTCTCAAACACGATTTAGAATATTCTCGCACAAACACGTAGCATTTGGCGCCTCGATGTCTATCGAGATTCCTGGAATGTTCGCTACAGTAATAATACACATTCACGAAAAAATTCAACTTCGAGCATCAGTACCAATCATTTTCAACAGTTAATTCAAAATAATTTCCTTTCTCGCATGTAGGTACGCGGTACTGTCAGTAAATCGCCTTCTGAACAGCACAAATTTTGTATTTGTAAAATAAAATGGTAAATTCTGAGCTAAATTAAGTAAATTATTCTCGAAATTACTAATACTTGTATTATTGTATAATAATTTTTGAAGTGGGCAATTCCCTTCCAAATTGAATCATTTGGCCCCTTGTTCTATTTAAAAATTTGTGGAATATTGCAACAGAGGTTAAAGTAGCAAGAATTATTTTTGCATAAAAATTGCCCCCCCCCCCTCCATATAAAATCGACTGCTTTTTGATTTTTGTTATTTATTTTTTTAGGTGGGGGACAGTCGACTATGATCGAGCTGCCTGTTTTTTGTATGATCTTACCGGTCACTTCCCTTTCGGTTCCATCCAACTGCACCGTCTTCGATTCGTATTCGGAATGGTAATCATCATACCCACCACTTGGTTCCCTTTGCACACACTGTTCAAAATTTCGCGTACTTTGGAATAACCAAATTTCGTTCTTTAGATCACTGACGGTTTTCCTCATATAATTTTCATTGCAAATAATTTCGCGTTTTAGATCTTCCAAGTAGGAATCGTGTGCAATGGCAGATTGCGTTTTTTGTACTTTAAGAGTCGAAGTTGAGGTTTGAGTTGACTTTGTTTCTTTAATTACGTTCTTCATTTTGTATTTGCAACTGATAGTTACCTGCCTGATTCTTTTACAATCGTTTGGCTTGAAATTGTCGCATTTTGTTGCCCCAAGCGTTGTTTCTTTGGGGCTTTTCCCACTTTGTTCATTGGAAGGTTTACACCGGATATTTGTCAGTGAGTTTTTTGGTCTCCTTTCTTTGTACCTGAACTGTGGTATACACTGGACATCCTCATCATCTGTACTAATATCGAAATAGGGGAGCTCCTTGTCAGAGGAGCTCGGGTTTGAAAATTGAGTGTTCGGTTCAAAATGTTTGATAATTTTTACCTCCGATTGTTTGCTCCTTTTATTCGGTAAAAGGTCTTTTTCGCAGCGCTTTGCTCTCCTTTCCGCAAAGTTCATGCTTGTAAACAAACAGAAAATTTGAGGTTAGGCACAATTACATTTGGTCGGTCCGGTTCGAAGTGTTTATTCTTTGATTCGCGAATCGGCCAATACATATCTCCTTGCTTGCCACTTTAGTTAACATTAATTAACAATAAAAAATATTAAAAACGAACAATTTAAAACAGAGCTAATGAAACGACACGAAAAATTTGACACAACTAGCGCCGACAAACGATTCTAGTACTAACTAAATGGTTCTTTAGAGCAAGAGGCACTGTATTACCAACATATACAGTGTGTCCCCGGAATGATCACTATACGTGTAAATAAAACAAATGAATAATTATTATTACCTGTCGATCGATCGCCTAAAAGAAAACTTTAATACAACATTTGCTATGGCTAGCACAGATACCGTCCGCACACGTGGTCGATTCTGCCGTTTTACGTCGTGTACCAAATTTGATTCCAATCGGTTCAGCGGTTTATCTGGAAATGAGAGTTTGATACACTTGCACGTGCGCGATTCTGCCCGGAAGCTTTTCACTCTTCCCTTTATGTCTAAGAATATGAAGAAGCAGTGAGAGTACAGACTATGAGGCGCCATTTGTGTCAAAATAAAACCTGTGAAATATATATCAATATTTGAGAAATATAAAACATTTAAGCAGATATGTATAAAATTCCATTAGATATATGTAAATTTTCTTTGTATATTTAAACATATAATTGATTATACATATAAGAAACAGCAGTGGTATATATATAAAGTTGAAACTAGAATATTATATAAAGTCAAGTTCCTAGAGCGGCCGTATAGTGGCGCTCCGTGAACTAAAGGACGCGTACGTCGTGTTGTATCTGTTACCTTTATATTACTACACTACACTTTGTGTTGTTTTTAACAAGTACAAGGTGGTAGGATATTTGTGTATGACAGCTGACAACATAAAATGAAATGGGTGTGTCATATGATCACCGATGTACGTTGCCTTACGTCAATGTGCGCCACCATGCGGCCACTTGACGAACGCGACTTTATATTACGTTTTATTTAATTATATATATATATATATATATATGTTTCCTGCTTCCTTTTGTATATATATGTATATATATATATTAATAAATAGATTTAATATAGCTATGAAAGAAATCTGTCCATATCTAACCAAATTTGATGCATATCTGCCTAAAAATGTTATACATCTGAATTATCTACATATATTTCGCAGGTTTTATTTTGACACAAATGGCGCCTCAATAACAGACGGACCGACAGAACAACAGACAGATATCACGACAATTGTGATCGGATTTTGTGCTTCAAACGTGTACAAAAAGTGGGGGATCATTTTATACCCCAGTATAATACCTCCCTTACTAATGTGCGGGTGCTAAAATTGTTTGAGTCTTATTCTTTTTACCACTCCCTCGTTATAAGGGAGGTATTGCATTGGGGTAAAAAATGGTAAAAAGGGCCCACCAATTTCTTACGAATTTCCGAACGCAACCCAGATTCAAATCAAACATACCCACGTGACACGGTGTCAATTTAACCTCAATAATTATTCTATTTTCTATCACGTTATAATTTGTTGAATTAAAAATATGAGTGTGTTACCACCAGGCACGGGAATTGACAATTTAGATACCGAACAAATCAAAACTGTAAGTTAATTACAACCCAAAACTTTTATTGACTATTTATTTCAGTTTAAAGACTTTTTGATATCGTATAACAAATTAACAGAGTTGTGTTTCAAAGACTGTGTAAATGACTTTACCAGCAGAACAGTTAAACCTCAAGAGGTAGGTAACGAGTAACTAACAAGCGTCGTAACGAGTATCCGTTATATTTTAGGACAAATGTTCCTTAAATTGTTTAGAAAAGTTTTTGAAAGCGAATCAGAGGATATCACAAAGGTTCCAAGAGTTCCAAATGGTAGCGAATGAAAATGCGTTAGCAGCGGCACAAAAATTGGGCCAAAAAGTTTAACATTTTATTGTAACTAGTCACACGTAGGAAGTGAATGTTTCTTAAACTAAATTAAATTTAATTCATATATTAGCAGCATTTGTTTCGCTTCTCTTGGTTCATGTTACTTAGGCAGATGGAACCGGGAATTTTTGGATTGTGGTAGTTGCAAAGTGTGCTCTTAATCAAAACTTGTATTGCTTCATCTGTAAAGAAACTGATATTACTCAAGTTCGCTGCATATCTGCCGAGCTATATGTACCAATATTTGTGTTTTCCTTGGCAGATGTTATAAACCACGCTTGAATATTATGTTGTATGCAGAACTGTGAAATGTGTGCTGGTATTATAGGTAAACAAATGTCTCCTTTATTTGCTAGTAAAATTATAGGTAGCGGCTGTCCATTTGGCAGTTCAACCTTTCCACGTAAGTCGAGAAGCCACTAAAAGTGGAACAAAAAACATGAATGATAGATAAAGGTTTACCAACTTTTTCCACTGAGGTGAAAGTTTCCGGTCTTGTTAGGTCAAATACAATGGCAGCTGCTGATCTGCAATCACATGAATTTTGTTTACACCGTGGTGTAAAATGTCTTGATGTGCTTTTGTTTCATTAACCTGTACCTCATATTACAATTAGCAATGAGAATAACTATATTATAGTGATCTTCTATAATAGTCGAGATAATACATAAAAACATTTACATCAATCATCACAGATAGCCGCCCACTGCAAAACTGGTTGCCTGTGAGTTGTACACAAATTATATTTTCATCTCTATATCTAGCCCATGCGAAGAAAAAGACATAAATTTTGTAGTGGGCGGCTACCTGCAACTGTTATTATACTAAACGACATAGTCTGAAACCAAAAGCTTCATGGGTATACTAGCTTGGTACAAGTACACTTATTGTATGAAGCAGTGAGTGAGGAAAAAAGGCGCCATTGCGTAAAGCATTTACAGCCCCTCCTCCACATACAGAAAAAATCTTGTGTAGGTATTTAAAAAATGTGTGCCATTTACCATATTCAAAATTTGTAGGTACCCCAGTATAGCAAAAAATTCACCAAAAATCTATTTGATATGAGAAAAGGACGAAGGTCATAAGGAAAAAGAAATAAACATACGCATATCTATAGTAAACGCTGGTTAAAGATCCGAACCGTTCGTGTCCAGAAATATCCCACATTTGAAGAGTAATCCTGGTATTATCGTCCCATACAAACGTCTTTATGGCGAAATCTGCTCCAATTGTTACTTTGTAGAGAGACGAGTAAACACCTGAAATTTAACTGTGGTAAATATCATAAATTAATCTACCTATTTTTAAAACGATAGGTATTTTCTATTTGCCTTTATTTTGATTATTATTTATATCTACATAATTATGAAGAGGTAACATTTTGAGTAATGAACAACTCCTTTCTCATATGTTTTTTAAGCCAATATATTAAATTACAACTGTGGAACTGATGTAAATAAATTTGCAGAGTGCACTAATGTTCTGGATTTATAAATCTATAGATTTATATATAAATAAAAATGGATCACCGAAATGTATGTACAGTTATAACTTCAGAACAACTGTACCAAATTAGATAATTCCATTTTTATTGTGTTTGTTATTACTAGGGCAAGGTTTGTATAAAAAATAATTTTCAAAAAATTGTACGGAATCAATTTTTCTCTTTTCCATCATTTTAAATCGCAATGTAACTAATAGATGGCGCCAAAGCGAGATCTACTACTAAAGTCAGTTGCACCGTCAAAGTTAAGCATAACTTAAATACCATAGCAACGATTGTCTCAATAATCGTTACCATAGATTTTAAGTTGGACTTAACTTTAAGCAAGGCTTAATTTTGTTGGTGCAACTGGGCATAAGGGCACCGTCAAAATTAAGTATTCCTTAAAGTTAAGCATAACTTAAATACCATAGCAACGATTGTCTCAATAATCGTTGCCATAGATTTTAAGTTCGACTTAACTTTAAGCAAGGCTTAATTTTGTTGGTGCAACTGGGGCTAAATATAGAAAGTACCGCAATCCATTGGGCTCGTGTGTTAGAGAGAGAACGCATGATTTTTGCCCAAAAATGGCGGAAGTTACCAGGTTCTAGTAACTTTAATGTTAGGGATTGTTCCACCTGTTTGGAGATATCTGTCTATATTTCATATATATAAGAGTATATATGATATATTTTTATAAAACATGACAGTACTATGAAGTTAGGTTATAAAAAATGACAGCTATTCAGATTTTATTTGTCAATTTTTTTAAGTTGGCAGCAAATTTGCCCAAAAATGGCGGATGATTGCGGTACTTTCTATATCTAGTGACTTTAATCTACTACGGCTCTAAAAGAATCCATACCGTCGACTTCAGGCGAGGGGGAAAAATAGACTCAAACGTATCAACGTATGCCCGCGAAGGTTTTTGATGTAGTAAACGTGAGCGGGGTGAGGCGACGGAGCTGCTGAAACCGTGTTTATGATCCGGAAGTGGGACATTGTCTGGTAGTATATAATACATTGATACCATAATGTAATCTGAAGATGATTTTTTTTTAAATTTGCCAAAATGATCGAAGATGAAAGTTCGGCATGACGAAGAAAATCGCTCGAGCGGTTTCTTCTTCGTTTTCATGTTTTTCCGTATAGGCAAAACGCACTATGGAGGGCCAGTTATTTTTCGGTCCGTAGCGGGAGGTAGGAGAGGGCGCGCAGTGCACACGTGAGGTAATTTTTAGGTAAAGTCATCAGTTTGAACGTTTGTAGCGGGCGAAGGGGGGGAGAAACCGTGCACTAGCACGTCCAAGTGGGTTTTTGGGAGAGTTAAACTGATTTTTCCTAGGAAGCGGGGAGCTGCCACGTCGAAACGAAGAGGGGGGGTGGGTATCTAGTTACGGTTTTTGGTGTGGATGGATCGAGAAGGTACGAGTGATGATTGTACTTTATTAATAAACTTTTTTACTCTAAAAGACACGAGGGAACATGTCGTCCGTAATTTTCTCGAAAACATGGAAAGACCCCTTTGGGGGTAACCGTGAAGTCGAATTTTTTTAAATTTTTGCGAGGGATATATGCACGGTTAAAAAGTGGGTGCGTATGTATAGGTGGATTATCCATTTTGCAATGGACCCCTCCGCCGAGATGGATAGAATTTTGACCTTCAGGTCGCTTATAAAGGATGGAAAATCTAATGATTTTCGAACAAACGCGTTACTTTCGACGCGGGGAGAATTAACATTTTCGAAGTCTCCCCCTCCCTCATCCTTGATATTCCCAAAAAGACCAGAGCTTCGCTTACAAAAACTTGGTTTTATTTATGACAATGGCAATCTATAAATAATTTATTTGTGCAATGTAGCTAAATGGTAATTTTCTATTGTGTTCACTCTCTGTGACAATTTACTTATTAATGATATCGAATGGGATCATCTTTAGATACAATGTACTTTTGGAACACAGCTGATACGAACTTTACAGCCACAATATTGATTTATAAACAAAAGAATGCTAGGAATGCGTTCAATAAATTGATTTTTCTAGGAATTTCGAATATGCGCTGCTGGTGACAGCAAATTGGTATACAACTTTGCAATCTTTCAAAGAAATTAAAAGTTCATACCTTCAGTGCAACGTTTGATGATAGCCGTTTTTCCTAAAAAATCTTAAAGTAGAAAGTAAAAGTGATAAATAATTTACGTACCGACACCAAAATCTCCAATTACGACTACTTTAAGTAAAATTTCCTTGGTATCATATAGTGGAATTAGGTTCTTTTGCTCTTGAAACATGCTCATGATTATAAAAAAACGACGGGATTTTTAAATGTTGACAAAAAATACGAATTTCAGTGCGGCACGACAGAGGTATAAGCGTACAATTTGAAGCATTTTTCGTAAACACTGAAATATGTGGCGGTAAAATATTGGCGCCATCTATAATCGACAACAATGACTGAGGCCTGGACGAGTTCCTTGGTCCAGCCTGCATACATCCATCGCGTCACAATATTATGGAAATCCCTCTCGACAGTTTTTGAGAAATTCACTTTCGTCTGACAATTTTCGAGATACTTAGCCAGATCTTTATTTATTTAAAAAATATTTTTTTTGTTGCATAAAATTAGGCGCCCTTCAGAAGAGATGTCATTTAAGACAGAGAAAAACAATACATACACCTAAATCCCTATGTCTACTTCTTAATAAATATCACTGTACGAGTATATGTCTCGTTCTGATTTTACCTTTGCTATTTGCGAGTGGTCTCTCACGCTACACCATGATCGAGATATTGGGTTGTGGTTGGTTTCTTTAGAATACCATGAAAGATAAAACGAATTCCCAACCCTCTCCCCCTCCGACCGAAAAAATTATGGTTGCTAGAAACCAATAATTTTATGAGACCTATTAGAATGTCATAAAGGGTAGAACGTGGTGTATAACACACTCCCTCCCCCCAATTTCAAAAGTTTTACTTGGCACCCCACTGTACCTACCCACATAGCAGAATACATTGATAATAATAATAATAATAATATATTTTAGTGCATAGACCAACAAAACGTATGTATAGCACAAGTCAATTAACAAACTAACAATTAGGTAACAATTAAAGATTAAAAAATTCACTAGTGGTGTAAAATGGGTTAAGAATCAGGTACTTTAACAGGTTTTGTTTGAACAGTTTTAGAGTGTCACAGCCTTTAAGTAGTGAGGTAGCTTGTTATACATTTGTACTCCAAGAACCATGGAGAGTTCGCGGTTAATTGTCTTTTAAAAGTGGGGATTTGAAAAGGTCATTATCACGTAAATTATAGCTATGTGTGTCCTTGTTCCTAATCAGTTATGAGAAAAAGTGAAGATTAATTTACAATTTTCAAAAATTAATAAACTAGGAACGCGTTAAGATTGCCAGATCTTTAAAGAGACCTCTGCACGAATGAAATTTTGACACCTTTGCAATTGTTCTTATAATGCGCTTTTAGGCAATGAAAATAGCATGCGAGTGAGTAGACGAACCCCATAGACATATCCATATGTAGGATGGACTCCCCAAGCGAGTGGTATATATTAACGAGTTGATTTAGAGTTAAGACGCGTCTGAAATTCTAATTAGGTATTAACCGAACTCAATCTAGCTGCGAGTTTGGAGCAGTGTACGTTCCAGCTTAAGTGGTAGTCAAAATGTAGACCCAAAAATTTAGTGGTGGAAACATCTTGGCAGAGTTGTGTCCTCTATTTGTAGAGCGACAGGGTTAATGGTTTTTGTGGGTGATGAAAGACGAACATAATTGTTTTGCTTGCATTTAGAACAAGTGAAGCTTCCTTGAACCAAACACTAAGCTTATACAAGTAATTATTGCACAAGTTTGTGAGTAATTTCTCGTCCTTTTATGAGGACACCAGCAATGACGTGTCATCCGCATATAAGAAATGGTACTTCTGTCCCGAGGAAAGTGGGTAGAGCATTTAATATACAGCAGAAACAGCGTTGGTCAAGTAACCGATCCCTGCGGGACCCCAACATTTGTAACTTTATTCTGAGATTTAAATATTTGCTTTGGTGCCGTTTACTAGCCGGTATAGAACAACTGTTCCCTGTTGTAAAGGAAAGAAGAGATCCAGCTGAGTCCAACACCTCTGATGCCATATTCTCCTAATTTTTAAGAAGCAGCTTGTCAATGTGCGTACGCAATCAAAGACCCTTGTAAGGTCACAGAAGATCCCTATTGGACATTCTCCGTTGTCAATGAATTTAATTAGCTTACAATAAAAATTTTGTAGAGCGTCTGTTGTTGAGCATTTCGGTGAAAACAAAACTGTTGTTTCGACATTAGTTTGTGTTTTGTAATGAAGTTTGAGGCGTTCAAGGAAAACAATATTCAAATATTTTAGAGAAAGTGGAGCTGAGGGCTATAGGACGATAATTGTGTAGACACTTATGATCTCCTTTTTTATAAATAGGGATAACGTTATTAATTTTAACATTTTTGGAAATTCTCCCATGCTAAATGACAGATTTATGGTGTCACACTATGCGTTTTTACGCTCCCGCTAAAACGGATGCGGTTTGACAGGATGAGATCTACTTGTCACACTATTCCGGTTTAACGGGATGCGTTTTGCTATATTTTGCAGTCTAAGTAGTGTCATGTCTCAATTTATTGTTAAAGATGGTTTGGTGCGCTTGAGGCGGAGGGGCTATTGCGAAAGCAGATTATATTGTCAATATTAGATTGATCCTTTTAATTCAGGACGAGAATCTAATAATAGGTTCGCGAAGTTTTTATGAAAAAATTCGAATGAACAAGAAAAATTTTTTGTATATTACCGAATGTCCAAAAATTCAATTTCTACCCATGATTTCTCCCTACAGCTTTTATCTACATACTCTTTAGATTGTTTTTTCCCACAGTGCAGTTTTTGCATGCACGCACTCGATGAAATAACCGACATCAAACATTGTAAACCTAACAAGACACCCGGTTGCAACGCTCAGTGTGACAACTGATGACAACCAACGTGCAACAACACGTGGTTCATGTCATTGGGGTTGTCATGTCATCCTGCGCAGCGGCAGCAGGATGCGGTTGCATCCGGTTGGTGCGGCGAAAACGCATATATGTGACTAGTACCATTTAATAACGTGTGATATTATCATCCCGTCAAACAGGAGCGTTTTAGCAGGAGCGGTAAAAACGCATAGTGTGACACCACACTAAGGTACCTATGTCAGTGGGGATATTTTGATGGTAAAATTTGTTTTTTAAGTACTGGTGGTATCCCCTCCGGGCCGGTTGAGTGTTTATTTTTTAATTTGGAAATTATATTTATTTATTTATTTATTTATTTAACCAGAAACCATGACAGTTTATTTATTTAACCAGAAACCATACAGAATAAAAATTCCAATTACATGGCACTGGGGCTCTGAACAAATATTAGGACTAGGATCTAATTTTATTTATTATTGAATTTCGGGGATCGTGAAAAAAGTCGATATCATTAACTGAGGATAACTTATTTAAAGCGATCAAGATCTTAATAAGTGGGGAAGTTGTGTTGTTAACTACAAAAATAGTATTATTTTGCCTTAGCTTAACAAATGGTACCTTAAGCTTAATTTCTTGAAGTAATTCGGAAGAGTATAACAAGTTGTGTAAAATTTTGAAGACAAAAATTGTGGAGGCAATGTACCGTCGGGTTTCTAACCTCGTTATATCTAAGCCGAAAGTACTATTTAAGTAATTAAGCTGGGTACCGTAAGAGATCAAATGTGGATAATTTTGGGTTGACCTAAAAAACATTACTCGGATGAACTTTTTCTGCACTTTTTCAATCATGTCTGAGTATTTGAGAGTTTGAGGAGACCAGATACATGCAGCATACTCCAGCTTGGATCTAATAAACGCATTATATAAGGTTAGCATTGTCTGTATATTCATGAAATTGAGTGTATGCCTGATAACGAAACCAAGAAGTTTGTAACACTCATTTGTTAGGTATTCAATGTGTAAGTTAAAGTTAAGGTTGGTATTGAAAAACACGCCCAGGTCCTTAACGGAGGTGACTCGTAGTAATACCTTTCCATTCATCTTATAGTCAAAAAGTAAGGGATTTTTCGATCTAGTAAAAGTAAGGACTTTACACTTATTGATATTTAGTTTTAGTTTATTTTTGATACACCACTTAATTACTGAGTTAATGTCCTCTTGAATATTTAAACAGTCACTTGGGGATTGGACTTTATTAAAAAGTTTTAGGTCGTCCGCAAATTAGTAGTGCTTTTCGAGTTTGCGACGACGTATAAGGACTAATAAGTTCACTAGTGGTAAATGGAAGCGAAACAAATGTATGGGGATTATTGTTCATTTTTGGGATGTAATGTCGGTTTCCGCACATGCACATTCTAGGTGGGATTTTGTATATCAATAGAATGTGGAATAGCATGTCCGATGTATGTGCAAGGGATGTAAGTTTTGGCGGACTTCACATAATACATACTGTACACGGTGTCCATTTTTCGAGTGCCCATTATGGGGATCTCGCTTACCTTAAGTTAAGGGATAGAAAGTTGGTTAAATGGGGGCAAAGTTGCGAATTTCCCTGCTAAATAACCTTCTGAAAAGAAATTGAAAAAATCATCAATAGTTTTGAAAATATCGCAAAAAAACGAAACTTTCTGATTTTCGTTTTTAATTTTTTCATGATAAACTAGTCGTACTAGACATTTCTAATTAACACATTATATTCGAACACTTTTCAATGGAGATTTCGAATGTGGCATCTCGTTTATTTAACTTTTAAGATGACAGAGAAACACGTGGCAACTTACTTTTTCTTATGGGCGCCATTTTTAATTTTGAGATTTTCAGATTACGTCTTTTTTCCTCCTTACGACGATATATCACACATGGTGGTTCAGTATCACATTTTTCCTAAAATACAATTTTTTATTTTTTGGGAAGAGTGCTTTGGAAAAACAAAACGTTCTTTTATTGTGAACCAAAGTTTGACAGTTTGATGCATACCTACCTATGTCCGGTTGCAGCGTTGGCATCAGGGAGCTAGATGTGTTGAGAAAATTCGATTTTCATGTGAACAGAATTGAACCTTCGTTTTGCAAGAGAATTATAATTCAAACATAAGAATAAATAATATTTTAGCAATAAAACAAGCTCAAACGTAAATGACACTGCTTGAAATAAGGCAACATTTTGTTCACAACAAAAGAACGTTTTGTTTTTGCATAGCACTCTTCGCATAAAATGAAAATTGTATTTTTAGAAAAAATGTGATACTGAACCACCATGTGTGATTATATCGTTGTAAACAGAAAAAAAGACCTAATCTCAAAATGTCAAAATCCAAAATGGCGCCCATAAAAAAACTAAAGTTGCCACGTGTTCCTCCGTTATCTTGAAAGTTATTAAAAACGGGATGCCATATTCGAAATCTCAATTAAAAAGTGTCTGAATAATGTGTTAATTAGAAATGTCTAGTACAATTTGTTTACCATGAAAAAGTTAAAAATGAAAATCAGAAATTTTCGATTTTTTGCCATATTTTCAAAACTATTGAAGATATTATAAATTTCTTTTTAGATTATTATTCAGCACGAAAATTCGCAACTATGCCCTAATTTAATCAAGTTTCTATCTCTTAAGATAAGCGAGATTCCCATAGTGGCACTCGAAAAATGGACACAGTGTATACGTTTTCGATGTGTTATGTACATGCATCAGACATGCTTTGTAAATTGGTATACTAGCAAGTGGATATACTGTGATACCATAATTCCTCTTCTCAAAATTGACACTTTTTTAAATTTACTTGTTTGGGGGCCTTGACTTTTTATGAAATTTTTTATTCTAATTTATTCTTTTTTATTAGTACCGATTGTTCTAGGGGTTTTCTGTTAACAAATATAGGACTTTGTGTCATCATAAAAAATAATGCATTTTATTAATTTTTATTTTTTCAAAATTTACAAATATTTGCGCTATGGGTACACAAATGAAGTGTAGTAGTGTGTTACCAGTGTTACATAGGTTTTAGAAAAATAGGTATATACACAAAATTGTTATCATAACAATAACATAAACAATTTTAGTTGCGAATCTAGCACACTTAAAAATTCAGCTTCCCTTTCTGAGCCTTCTTAATTTTAGCTTTTAATTTTTCTAAATTTACGCTTGTATCGGATGCAGAAGCTTTGGTCGTAGACTGTTCCTTAGGAGGTACAAAAGCTTGATTTCTTTTCTCTTCCCTAAGTTTCGTAGCAATCATTTGCTTCTCAGTCATTGCCTTCTGTTGCTTTATTCTTCTCTGTTGGGCGCTCAAGAAATATTCACCACTTTCCAGCATTTTATCAATCTACAATGAAATAATTCTGTTAAATAAACGTTTAATTCAATTAGTACCATTTTTACCTTGCTTTCCATTTGACGAGGCGGAAACGGTGTATACGGTCCTTTTTCTCGTTTCTTCTTCGGCTGTTTACGCTTGCTGATATTTTGATTGACAAATTTAGGTAAAAACCGCTCCCAATTTTCATTCTTTAACTTCGGATCTTTGGCCAGTTCTCTTTTGATCATTAACGCTTTAATGTTGTATATGGGATGTACGTTCTTCATAGTGTCTTCAACGATCTTTCTAACTTGTTGCAGACCTTTATACGGTCCCAAAGCAGAAACCGTCTGCCCCTGGACCAAGACATAGCAGTTTGTTAGAAGTTCAATTGACTTTAATGTACAGCCGTTAGGACCGATTAAACGCAGTCTGCGCTTAATAAATTTATCCTTGTTTGTCGTTATTTTACCAATTTTGATAATATCGCAACCAACGTCGTCTTCAAGGACTCGTTTGGCCTGCTCAAACGGAACACTACGGGACATTAATTTAATCATATCCCTGGCTTTAATAATGATATACGGATCCCAAGTCTTTCGTGTCGTCCTTACCGTCATACTGCCTTCGACTACGTCCAATTCGGCTTTAATGAAATGTTCGCCTAGTGTTTTTTCAACAAGCGGCCAGATTTGTCGTAAGTACTGCTCTCTATATTGTGGAAATAGGGTGGCAAATGAACTTTCTTCCAGTAGTCCATGTGGGTTGTGTTCCGCTTTAAATTTGGGTAGTTTCATTTGCCAAGCATTTTCAAGTGGTGCCGTATGGGACGGTTTTTCTAATTCGACATCAGATTCGGTCATATTTATAATTTGGGTTTGAAATTAGCACACTTTTTGAATCTTGCTGAGACTTCACTTACAAAAAACAATACATACCTAACCTCACAATTCGCGAAAATTCATACCCTCAAAAATCAGAGCTGAGGCAACGAATACACTATCATTATAGAGCGGCACATACACTATGTCTGGTATAGCCTCGGGTATAGCCTAGCCGTGTAGGAGACAAAACACTTATTTTAATTAATATCTAAAAAATGTACGTCAATTATGTTCTAGATTACGATCGCCCTTTTGATTCTGTAGTCTCCATCGTTGCAATAATCACCGTATATGTAGCTTCCGTAATTTCTGTATACTTTTTGGAATAACCATAGGGGCTGTAGTTGAGGCAGCCCATGTGGCTTCTGTTGCTCCTGTTCTTTTGCCCTTAATGTAACCCCTAACTTCTGTTGCCTCTGTAGCTCCTGTAATTTATGTAGCTCTTCAGCAGCTTCAAGGGTTCCTTTAGTTTTTATGTGAGTACAGTTTGTACTGTAGCTATTGTAGCAGCTGCTGCTTTTCTAGTTTTTTGTTTGTTTGTGTAGTTGGTGCAATGTATTCTCCTAACTAACTCCAGCTCTTGAAAACCCTACAATATTTGTTTTTAATATTGGTGAATTTTTTGACCTTGGTTATTTTGCTGTTTTTTGTTTGTAATGTTTATCTCCCTTTTTAAACCTTTGTTGTCTTCAGGATTTAGATTTTGGATTTTTTGAAATATTTGGAATATGTCCTGCGCTTTTTTGTGGCTTTCTTAATCTGTAATTTTGTATCGCTTATTCACAATAAAGACAAGGTAATGCAAAACACTATTTACCTATCGCTTTGTTTGGTCATTCTTTATCTTTAAAATTCTGGATTTTTTGAAATTTGTATGTTTGTAAATTTTTTTTTGCAATTAACCTTTCGGTTAGAGTACTACCAGATTAATGCAAAACACCCCGAAAACCCCCCCTTGGCTACGCCCATGGTATCGACCCTATTGTTACAGTTGCGTGGGTCTTTCTTTTTTAATTTTCTTTCCAATTGTTTGAATTTGTATTCTGCCTTCGCAATCCTTGCAACCATCGGACACATTGGAAACGACAACCATAGCAGATACGCCCATGGTCAAATTAGAAAAAAGATGCGCAATTAAAGAGCTAGTATCATGCTCAAAACCAGAAAATTCCTATTTGCGAAGATGCCATAAAAATTTACCGATTTCGTTTTTATTTTTTTTTTGTAATTTTTTTTACACAGATACAAAAAACACTGTCTCAATGGGAAAAATCATTATGAACTTCATTTTTTATAGGTATGGCTCGTAAATAAAGTACATACTGTATTGAGTAGCACTTTTAGCGCATTTTTGAAACAAGTTGTAAATCAGCATATGCATGATTAAAGCGCATTTTTGGTAATACAGATCAGTGTTTTATTAGCGAAGTTTAAAATTATCCATCTCACGAGTAATTTTGGCTGCGTTAAATAATTAATTTTATTTAATTTCAATTGAGGGTACGTCTTCATTTTGTAAAACAAATCACAAAGTAAATAATAAGTTTTTATACTGGTAGCGCTATCTAACGGTAAAATTATACCACCTCCTAAAACCATATCGGAATTATTTTCTTAAATTATCGATCTCATGAGTAACCTAACTCAAAATAGACTAGAGCCTGCACATCTACACTATAGCAGAAAGCTTTTAGTGAAAATTTGAAGTCTCTAGCTTTTGTAGTTGCTGAGATCTCACCGGGACAGCCGGCCAGCCAGCCATAACGAATATAATAGCGTATTTTTTTCAAAAATGCGCTAAAAAATACGCTAGTATATTCGTTATGGCTGGTTGTCTGACTGGCTGGTTGGGATCTGAGATCTAAAATACTGATCTGTATTACGAAAAATGCGCTTTCATCATTGTACCTATATATGCTGATTTACAAATTGTTTATGACGAATACAAGTACAACGATATAGGGGTACACCCTGGGGTACACAAAACAAAAGTTGGAAATTGTTGGTTTCAACAGGATGGTGCACCTGTGCATAACACCCTGATCGTGCGAGAATACCTATCGGGCAAATTTTCCATTTTCCAGGAATCTGGGTAAGTCTTTAAATCAGTTGTTATCAGAACGACAAGTGCAACAGGGGGAATATTTTCTTTGTCTTGTTGGCGCGTAAAATGTAGGTTGTATTTGTATTTTTTTCTGTAAAACCAGTGCCGGATGCGTTCCGTTACCAGGACATCTCTGATCGTAACACTATCAAAGGAGATGTGCGAGAATAGATGGAATAATGAAATTATAGATCGTCTCACGTAAAAAAGGAATCGGGAGAAAGTAGTGTAACCTCCCACTAAGTTTATTGTTCATCTCAATGTCGCTGTGCTTTGAATAAAGATAGGTATAAAACTGGTAATTATTGGGGCCGTTGGAACCACCCTCTAGACTCCCAATGAATGAGCGAAGTGTTTATAACCGCATAGATGTTTATAATTTGAATGGTCAACTGTATTTATACAGTTGACATTCTATGCGGTTATAACTTCTCTTATATATATGTTATAAACACTTCGCTCATTCATTGGGAGTCTAGAGGGTGGTTCCAACGGCCCGAATAATTACCAGTTTTATACCTATCTTTATTCAAAGCACAGCGACATTGAGATGAACAATAAACTTAGTGGGAGGTTACACTACTTTCTCCCGATTCCTTTTTTACGTGAGACGATCTATAACTAAGCACCATATCGACAGTATCCGCGAATTTCCTTCGGCTATACCGATCACGGTCGAGTACGGTACGATCGTCACCTGATACGACGCGGTTTGAACGAATCATCGTAATTTTGTACCTATTCTACGAAAACACTCGTGAAAGTATAAACATTTGCAATGTTATTACATTTGCATTATTGTTACTAATTTGCTTGTCAAGAGCAATGGTTGTGATGATCAAACACGATTTTAAAATGAACGGTGTTTGAAAAGGCCCCGAAAGACCAAGGTTAGTTCCGAAAAACCTCCACGTAGCTGTGACGTCACTACGAATGTTGGCGCTAGCTGTAGTGTTGCTTACAATTAATCCAGTGCAGGAAAAAAGCCTGGAATAAGTAATATTGTATTGTGCCGGGGTGTAATAATAGATCGTGAACCTAATAAGTTGTTTATAAACGTCTCGACAGGGAATATACGAAAAAAGTGTGGTTATAACTCCGATGTGGTATCAAGAGTGTCCCTTTGACGTCCTGCTTATAATATTGTTGTGAAGACCATTTTAATGTAAGTACATAATTTACTTTTACTTTCAATCAGTTATCGACGAAAATCCATCGATATACCTACCTATAAAACTGTAATTGTAATTCAGAAAATGGTTTACTTCCAACTCAATGTTGGGCATATCCGTGACCTTACTGTGTACACATTTTTCTCTCTTTTCGCTTCCATATATCCAACAGCACCATCATCATAGTTTTCACGTTGACATCTGTAAGTAGGGGCGCCATTTGAGGGGGACAGGAGAGGGTGGTCCCCCCTTCCCCCCGCAATAATTCGAAAAAAGAATCAAAATACGCAGGTACTTATAGTAAAAATGTAATGTATATGCCGCATGAACCGTATCATGTTTAGCATAACAAATGCCTATGTAAATGAACCTAGGTATAGTAAGGTACATAGTACATACACTCGTGGTCAAAACTTTCATGTAATATTAAATATACCATAGGCCTGCATCGCTTAGCGCTGCCCGCCCTACCCCCCCCCCCCCCCCACGGTAAGGTGAAATGGAACCCCTGTCTGTAACAATGTTTATTAGATACACTATACAGATAAAAATTGACGTTATGCTTCATTTGAACCATAACAGATGTCAGACCTAATGGGCTTTGACTCCACTCGTTACAGCTGAATTGTAGTACTCGCGTTTCGGGAAAAAGGCGGGGACGAATAATGGCAACCTTTGGCAGACTACGAACCGCCCACCGCCCTTTTACGAGCCCGACAGAACTCATTTTTACCAGGACCAGGAATCCGAATCAAACAAAATCTCGATGATGTCGATCTGTCTGTACTGTACTCGTAGGTCTGTACTCTCAATTTCGGCTAGACAGCTGAACTGATTGGTACCAAATTTGGTACACATATTACATGTTATGCAGATGTCGCTGTGAGTAGTATTTTATAAAAGATAACTTTTATTTATTTTATTTATTGTGTTTCTAAATATTCTTTACTTTTTACACTTATTGAGAACAAGGGATTTTTAATATTGTTTATTTTACCATCAATGTTTTTTTGTATTTATAGGAAACATAGCGCTGTTTTTGTAGCATGTTTCTTCAGTATTTAAAAGTTCGTTCTCACTGTACTGTAGTAATAGCCCGGTCATCTCCTCTCTTCTTTTTATGACGCCACACACGCGCGAGATTTGAATTTTTAAATTTCCGGATGTCGGCAATTTTGTCGCGGTAAATTTGAATTTGTGCGGGTGATTTGAATTCCAATTGTGGCTCCGCCTAGTGGGGGGATTTGTTGGCGTTACTAGAATCGCTAATATAGTTTTCTGTAATTAGCATCTATGTAGCTCGGCATCTAGTGACTGACTCATGAAATAGTGGTGTCGTAGTGGTAAATTCGAAAATAAATGTATAGGGAATTGCGAAAGTATACATGGTGAAATGGTGTTACGGTGCCAATGTTTCGGTGGCGTCTATTTTTATTTAGATCAGAGGTCCTAATTGGTCGGTCATTTTGTTCTGGCGTCTCCGTATGTCATGATAACCCGCTAACATTTGAAATTTGTTATAATATGGTAAATTTGAATTTTTGCGGGGATTTGAATTTTAAATATACAAGGTGTAATGAGGGTTATATACAGGGTATTTGTGATGGGCGTTTTTGTACCGGTGCCAATAGGTTAACACGTCGGCCATTTTGTTTCGATGATACCAAATTGAATTGTGTGTGTCGGTATATTTGAAATTAAATATACAGGGCGTAATGATAATTATACACTTACGGATAGCCAAAAGCAAGTATCACTTTGAAATAGGTTACCAATCCAATTGGAGCCAAGACGTCTTTCGTATAAGTAAAGTTATAAGGCGACGGCCGCCTGTTACTAGATTAGTTGATTTAAAAGACGACGAGACGGAGGGTGCCTTCTGCGAGGAGGAAATACAGTTGGTTATTACCATTGACGAGGATACAGACGATACAGTATCACAGATCACATCTCGTTTGAAAAATTTCGTTTTCAACACTCGTTACGTAATATACTATTTTAGCACTCTCGTTCAGTGCTGAATTTTTAAGTCCATAATTTCGTGATATTCAGAGACAATATAGCTTTTCTCTCGAGACTACCGGATATAGGCGCATATAATGTCAATAAAAAAGGGCCTTAAAATGCAAATCTACATTCATTTCTGGGATCTGAAGTAATGGTTGCAATTTGAAATACTGAAGTCTTTGACATTTTCTTATTGCTAATTTTGAAAAATGGCAGCAGTTCTGAAAACTTTTTCAAGACGTTAGAAAGTAATAGAATCTAGCCTGTTTCATTTTAATAAAAAACAAGATGGCGCCTACTTTACTGAAGCGTCACCATTTCGAAATTATTGTCTTTCAATTCGCAATGGTCGATTATGGTTTTTAACCAAATTTTAATCCAAGTTTCTATTTCAACTACAAGTTTAAAAACTTTTAACGAACCGGTTACGCGAATCTCCCTGTATAGAGATCGCGGCCCTGGTTTTGCGAAGGGCCTTTCTAAACTCAAAATAGTACAAACACGTGCAACGATTGCTTTTGTAATCTCTGCACGGTGCGGCCCTGTCTTTTAGATATTAAATGGTATTAATTAAAATAGTACGCGTTTGTCTATATGTACAGGGTGCAGCATTTAAGACTCCCCCTGATCATAATTTCTTTACTATAAAAGATACCGAAAAAGTCTTAGAGCAAAATTGTACGCAATTACCGCTGGCACGGCATGTTTCTAAAATATTTTCGATCACCAGGGGCGTGCTGTATTCCAGTGGCGTATCAAACTTGCATTTTTTTTAATGCAACACCCCATATTTTATTACTGATTTGGAAAGTACTTGAAAAGGACTTATCTAACATGTTATACCCCTAACTTTCACGATTTCCCTGTTATAATCTTTTTTGTCAAAATTGGGAAGTTTTTCGAAGTTCTTTTTTAGAGAGACTAAATCGCGCTGGCAACTTTTGTTTCATCATGGCACACTTGGGCTCGGAAAAGAACAATTTGACGTTTCGACTTGGTTTTTCTCTGAAATTTTCTTGTGGAATGTGCGGTTTTGTTTATATCAGTGGAAAATTTGTAGTTTTTGCTTCTCAGAGGTACAATTTGTTTAGGGGAGTGCCATTTGAAATTTTTAAAAAACATGACATTTGGCGAAAGCCAATCAAAAATTTTATTTAAAGTACCTAAACGAATTATGTGACTGTGGAAGAGGTCTTAACCTGTGCCTCAATTAAAAAATTAGTCGCCTGCGCGATTTAGTTTCTCTAAAAAAAATTTCGAAAAATTGTAAAATTTTGACGAAAAAGGGTTGGAACAGCGAAATCGTTAAAGTTAGGGTATAACATGTTACTTAAATAATAAATACTTTTCAAGTACGTTCCAAATCAGTCATAAAATATGAGGTTTCCATTTAAAAAACTACAAGTTTGATATGCCACTGGAATACAGCACGCCCCTGCTGAGCAAAGATTTTAGAAACATGGCGACGGTAATTATGTACAATTTTGCTCTTAAGACTTTTTTCGGTATCTTTTATGGTAAACGAATTATGATCAGAGGGCCTCAGGATTAGGTGCTACACCCTGTATAGTGTATGTGCCGCTGTATAATGATACTACATTCGTTGCTAATTTTCCGTTGCCAACTTCACACAACAGCTATAAATCAGTGTTTGTTTATGTAGTTTAAAAATGTTTCGAACGCAACTTTGCCCAAAATGAATTTCGTGGAATTAATAAACGATCTAGAAGGGACATTAACATCTTCAAATTATGTGGAGCACCTTTGGTGTAAAATTCGCGAAGTGATACCTACAATTTCAATTTCATTAGAAGATGAAGAAGTATATCGGAACCATCTGCCACTGGATCTCACAAAGTTTCTAAAAAAGTCAGTCTTTAAACTGAGAGACATGAAGAATGTCTCACAGCCCGAAGTATGGAACGATTTAGATCCGAAGTATATAAGCACACTTGTGTACTTTGTGTTGGAACAAGAAGACGTGACCATGCAAAATGCGTTGTACGTGGCGAATATTTTTGTTTTGCTTAATGTAATACCGATGACCCAAAAACAGCACTTCTATAAGGTGACATATTTAAAAATACTAGAAATGCTGGGCGAATTCAACCGCTCCCAAGATTTAACGTGTAATAGCATTATATTTTTGATGGACGACTTTAAGACTATGTTAATGAACACGTGCATTCCAGAGGAGACTGTCATAGCGACTATTGCCGTTCTCCATTCGTATACATATTGTTGTAATGAAACGTTTAAAACATTTGATGTTGGTATGTATCGATTAGTATTTGTGTGGTTTTTAGATTAAATTTGTAGATATTTCCTTTGAGAATCTCGGATATTTAGCATTTGTAAGTTTGAAAGTGCTTGCAGAACAGCTCCAGCAGCAAAAAAATAATGACCGAAAGTTATTTCCGATCCTGTTGTGCTTGATGTCGTGCCTCAAATCCTCGTCTGTTAGGGACCGTAGCAGAAGTGTGAAAACGGCCCATTTGAACAATGTCCAACAGTTTTTAAAAGAAACTTTTGAGTTATTTCAGTCGAGAACTTTTTCCTTAATCACAGATGCTCTAAAAACTATATCTTTATCCAGAGAGTATGATAATTTTGATGTAAGTGGGTGGTATATGTATACAAAATAATACCCAATTTATTTCAGGATATAGCCAAAGTCTTGCAGCAGCTACCCTCGGATGTTAATCAAGTTTTCCAAACTTTTTTTGTGGAAACGTTGCTCTGTAATAAGGACGAATTTAAATTAAACCTGCTAAATTTGGTTATACCCATACTCAGACATCCTCCAGAATACGAGACCATTTCTAAACGAGTCGTTAAAGCGGAAGTGCTGTTGTATAATGTTATAATGCTATTTGCCGATAAAAATGAAGCAACTAGAGAAAATGCATTGAAGGTGGTTGCTGAATTTTCGGAGGACTCTTTAGGGCGGCGTGTTTTACGAGTAAGTTTTAGGGATAAGAATTCTATAGTAAAGTTGTATTATACAAATTTCTTTTGTTTGCACTGTTTTATTCTCCTCACCTCGTTTACACCAAGGTTGGGTGTAAGTTGTAAGAGAAAGAGATTTCCTTTTGCTTTACCAAACTGAAAGTACCATAAAAAAACAAGGTAAATGCTTATCCCATTTTGGTTGCTTGCCAGCATGTTGCTACAAGTGGACCTTGTTAGAACTCAGGTCTACCCTGGCTAACTAATCGCACGGATTAAAATCAAGTATTATTATTATTACTGTATTTTTGTCATAACTTTAGAATTTCTTTTTCATTTTGTTTATGTTATTGTGTACTCTATTCCTATTAATTTGTTGTTGTCCTGTGTTTGGAAAACGTTTTTTTCTGTTGAACAATAAATATATTATTATTATTATTATAACGTACCATGACAATTTAATATTCTGATGAACACATACTATTTATTCGTTACCATATAAACTGGAGGTCCTATTCTGTGATATAAAAAACAACTATCTCGTGTATTGCTTACGCTTAATACTTAACAAGAAAACGGACGTGAATGATATATTTACTCGTCCAGTTACTTGTCGTGGTCTAAAACTAAATTACATAAGCTTAAAAAATGTGACAATAATATTATTACAAAAGTACTTGCTGAATAATCCTCTGTTTTTCAAATTAGTATATGGGCTCGTCCAAAAACATTATGGGACCTAACCTCATTTTTAAAATAGAACACTGTATATTTTAATACAAAAAGATTTAAAAATATAACACACTAGTGATGGTTTAAAAGTATACAAATGATTCAATAAAATGTAAAAAAAAATTCAAAAAGATTTAAAAAAAGAATTAAAAAAATTTAAAAAAAGTTCAAGTGATTTCAAAAAATATCAACACCAAAATTTTGAATTTTTTTATTTTTTGAAAAATCTTTTTCAACCAATATTGAATTTTTTTAAAATTTCTTTACTGCAAAATATGGCGAAGAGAATTTAATTTGCCTTTAAAATAAAATATACAGGGTGTTCCACTAAAAACAATGAGATTAGGTGCATTAACTTTTTTACCTGATCCCGTGCAGATTATTCAACAATCATAATGAAACTTTTCTGTATATCTTTTATCTAAGGAAATCTAGAGTCATTCTGAAATTGTCAATGTAAAATTTTCAAATTTTGATTTTACCATTAATTTAAGTTTGACCCAAAAAGGGCATATAACGTCCTATAGTACTTTTTTGATGGCAGTAACAATTATGGACATACTTATTATACTTACAATAGCCAATTTCACGAGCAATTGCGATGTTAATTTGAAAAAACTTATCACTCTATCGTTATTTCAGGTTCTTCTCAGTTCTCTTTGTTTATAACAAGTATTTCGGGTGGAATATAATCGTAATGAATCACTACTTTAGATAGATTACGTTTTAGCAAAGATCGCCATTTTTTATTAGGTTAGATGTATGATTGAAAAAGCAAACAGAAGAGAGATAGTTTATACCAAGTCGAAGCGAGCGAAGCGGATCCGGCTAAATAACCGTCTCGCCGATTATGAAGCGTGTTATATTGTTCCGGTCACAAAACCAGAGTTTATTACCAATAATTTATCACCGCATCGCCGAAATTATGAACGTGCTATAAGTTCCGTTCCAAACAAAGTTTTTACAATAAATAAAACGCTGGCTGAAATTATCAGATTAAACGGTTCGGTAAAACCGCCTTTAATACCAAGTCGAGCGTAGCCGAAAGCGAGATCGGCATAAATAACTCGTCACACCGAATTATGAAGCGGCTATACAGTTTACCAACGGCCTAACACCACTAC